TCTCTTAGGTGTTGTGTTGTCCAAAATACAAAGGGACACTTGTCCCAATGCATGCCTCCCCCTTGCCATTTTTTACTAATTTTCTTTTTTCTTCTTTTTCTTTCTTTTTCTCTTTTCTTCTTTTTTTCCTTTTTTGCTGAAATTTATTATGAAGACAAAAATAAATAATAAAAAAATAAAATAAAATAAACCTAAAATTGAAACAAATAAAGCTAAAATCAAATAAAGTTTGAAAAATCAAAAATTTGGTGTCTACAATATGCCCAAAGAGTTTCTCCAATCTGAAGATGTCAATCCCTTTTCGATTTATCGATGATTTTCTTCAATATATTAAATAATGTCTTGTTGAATGTTTCAACGAGTCCATTTGCAGCAGTATAGTACATGGAAGAGTTGTATTATTTGAAATGAAATTTTTTGCAAAGTTTATTCATTTCTATATTGCAAAAAGATTTACCATTATCGGTGATGATATAACGTGAGACTGCATATCGATAAATGATGTGCAAATGAATGAAATCAACTACATTTTTCTTTTTGACCTCTCTTAGATAAATTGGTTCTGCCTACTTTGAGAAGTAATCTATCGCTGTCAAAATAAAAAATGTATCCGCCAAAAGATTTTAGAAGCGGTCCAACTATATCCAAACTCCAAGCATCGAATGGCCAATAAACCACAGTTGGGTGCAATGGTTCAGGAGGTTGATAGATGAAATTGCCATGGAATTGACAAGATTGACATTTTCTAGTAAAATCGATGCAGTCCTTCACCATCGTTGGCTAATAGTATCCCAATTTTTTAATGCGAAAGTGTAATTTCGGACCAGATTGATGAGCATCACATATCCCAGAATGAGCCTCCTCCATTGCTTGCATGGTCTCATCTTCTTCAAGACATCATAGAAACACTCCATCAAATGACCTTCGATAAAGCGTCCCTTTGTAGTAAATGAAGCGTGGAGCTCGACGACGTATATCAAACCTTTTCTTGGGGTCTTCTGGTAACTTTCCATGATTAAAGTAATCCATGATAAGATGATGTCAATCCTCTTTTTCAATTTCATGGACAAAAATGTGATAAGCATTTTCCTCCCCACTATTATTTCCTTCATCAAATATCGGAAGTATGACCCAATTTTGATATATTGAAATTCGATTTCGATGAAAAGGTAGAGTGATCATAGATGCCAATATTGCCAAAAAGTCAGCTTATTGGTTGAATTTTTTGGAGATATGTTCTATAGTGATATTGTCTAGATATCCCATGAGTTGTCTTACATACTTATAATATGGGATCAATTCAGGTTTCTTGACATCATAAATACAAAGAAGTTGATTTATCACTAATTTTGAATCACCATAGACTCTAAGATGCAACTGCTTCATGTCTACAGCCGTTTCGAGACCGAGAATTAATGTCTGATATTCGGCCACATTATTTGAACACCGACACGTTAAAGTGAAAGAATACGACAATATAGCTGCTTCAAAAGTATAAAAGATAATTCCCGCACCAGCTCCATCGCGGTAAGCAGCTCTATCGAAATACATCGACCACAGAGATTCGACGATAAACATTTCTTCATCGGGGAGTTCATCAGTCAACTCCCACTCGACAGGTATGGGATGATCGGCTAGAAAATCTGTCAATATTTGTCCTTTGACAGCCTTCGCAGGTATATAAATAATTTCAAATTGTTGAAACTGAAGGCACCATCTCGCAAGCCGGTCAGACAGTACAGGTTTTGCCATGACATACTTAATGGGATTATACTTGGATATGAGTCGAACAGTGTGTGCTTGAAAATAATATTTCAACATCTGAATAGCAAATATAAACGCCAAACACAACTTCTCGACGAGTGAATAATTCAACTCATTAGATGGCATCATCCGACTCAAATAATACAGCGCATTCTCCTTACCTTCATCATTTTCCTGAGCAAGTAAGGCCCCAACCAACCTTTATTGAGCAGAAATATAGAGAATCAATGGTTTATCTAAAATTGGCGCAACTAATACAGGGGGATTCATGAGGTACGTTTTAATGCTTGTAAAAGCATTTCTACAAGTTTCATCCCACTAGAAAAATACCCCTTTTTTTATCAGTACACTGAAAGGTTGGTATCGTCCAGCCAAATTAGAGATGAACCTCCGGATGTAAGTCAATTTTCCTTGAAAGCTCTTTAATTTATGGATATTTCGCGGTTCAAGCATGTTCACAATGGCATCAATTTTAGATCGATCGACCTTTATTCTTCGTTGATGAACGATGAAACCGAGAAACTTGCCAGAAGTTATTCTGAATGCGCACTTCAAAGGATTCATCTTTAGTTGGTATCTCCGAAGGCGTTACAAAATTCTTCGAAGGTCTTGAATATGATCTTCTCGCTTCTTTGATTTTACCACAAGATCATCAACGTAACACTCCACATTTTTATAGAGCATATCATCAAAAATTCTTTGCATTACCCTCTGATATGTTGCTCCAACATTTTTTAAGTCAAACGATATCACCTTGTAGCAATAAATTCCCTTAAGAGTGCAAAAGGCAGTGAGCTCCTCATCTTTGGCTGCTATACGTATTTGATTGTAGCTAGAAGATCTATTGAGAAAGGATAGTACTTCATGTCCTGTTGTAGCATCTACTGTCAATTCTGTGATGGGGAGTGAAAAATCATTTTTGGGACAAACCTCATTTAAATATCGAAAATCAACACAAATTCGGATTTGCCCATTCTTCTTCCTCACAGGGGCAGTTCTTGAAATCCATGTTGGATATTTCACTTCTCGTATGAATCCAGTTTCAATCAACCTATTTATCTCATTTTTTATCAAAGGAATCAATTCGGATCAAAAGCGTCTTTGAGTTTGTTTGACAGGTTTTGTTTCTCGCTTGATAGACAAATTATGGACAGCGATCCTTGGATCCAAACCAGGCATTTCTGAGTAATTTCAGGCAAAGACATCTTTGAATTCGAGCAGCAAATCAACATACTCTTTCTCTTCTTCAGGAGTCATACAAGAACTTAAATAAATTGGGCGAGAGTCGTCACTTGTGCCAAGGTTAATTTTTTTTAACATATCGACTGTATTTTTTACTCCTTGTTCAAATTCAGTAGGAGCGTCATCTGCATCTTCTTCTTCTTCTTCAGGATTACTGATCGTAATATGATGGCAGGAAGCAATACTCTCTTGACCCTGTTCTTCAAAGATGATTTCGATCTTTACGTTAAACAAGTTTTCATAATGCATAAAGAAATTGAAAACTCGTTTTCTCAGAACATTCTTCTTTATTGGAGTAAGATTTCTTCCTTGACAACTTGGTACTCTTGTTTTTTAATGCCTAATCTCTCATGGACGAGCGGTTTCAAATTCTTCAATTGTAGGCCCAGTCTATCAAATACAGAAGTGCGCATTGATTTATTTCCCAATCTATCGAAAACGAACCTCTTTCGATTTGTAACCTCCATTTCTTCGTTCACATAATTACAACTTGCCCTTTTGATCATTATACGAACAGGACATCGATGAATTTTCGACATTATAGCCTTTTTCTTTCAACATTTTCTATGTAGGTATCAATTCATGAGTCTTCTCGCCAATCACTTCAGGAGGAAGTTTGCCCAACGCACTCTTCTCATTTGGGTTACAACCTACCTTAACAAGAAGTCTATATGCGTTTGGATCAAAATCTTCTTAAGTCCGATTAATTGGTAGTGAGTAATGTTCTACTGCAGGTTCTTTTTTGGGATGGACAAACCCTTGCAAGTTTGCTTTTTCACTTTTAATAGGCTCTATTTTAGTGAGCGGAACATTTAATGCGTAATTCCTAATAAAAGAAGACTGACCTTTTTCTCTCTTTGATTTTGGAATATAACGCAAAATGGGTATTTTGGAATCTTGACTTTCTTTCCTTACTGATTCTTTTCTTTTTGCTTCTTTTTAAAGATAAAATTTAGCGTCAGTAAAGTGAATCTCGGTCTCAGTGAAAGGTTATCATCGGCACCAACATTTTTAACTATACCGTTTCAATAATATTTGAAATATTGATGAAGAGTAGACGCTATAATTTCATTCTCATGAATCCAGGGTCTTCTCAAAAGCATGTTATAAGAGGTTTTGGCGTCAATAATATGGAATAACACACTTGAAGACAACTCACCAATGAGCAATTCAAACCTTATGAGGCCAATTTCTCTTTGTCTCCCTTGGTTAAATTCTTGGATCATGAGACGGCTCTGGGAGAGCTCATTGCTTGAAATTTCTAATTCTTTCATAGCACGTACGGCATGATATTGATAGCAGATCCCCCATCTATGAGTATCCGATTCATCTTCTGTTCTCGGACATATGCACTAATAAACAAATGTCAATTGTGGGTTTTAAAACCAACTATTAAATTATTATCATAAAAAATTATAGTCGTTGTACAATTTACTGGTGATTTATCATCAATTTTGAGTTTTTTCTCAAATTCAGTGCTTTTGGACCTGTTGAGAACTTTACCATCGCGTATATGGATTGGAAATGGAGACAGTGCTGGTTTTTGGCAGGAACTAGTGGTAGAGAATTTACCCCAGTACTGCACTCACTGCTGTCGCCAGGGTCATGGCGAGAACAATTGCCATGTTTTGCATCCGGAGATGCGTCACTCTTCTGGGCAACGGGCCAAACTGGGGGATGTGCAGCGGGGGCAGGAAGAGAGGTCCTACGCGCTGGCTGAGGGGGCGGCTGGAGCACAGCGGCGAGAGAAGGAGGAGGTGCAGCAGCAGGGCTTGCTAAAGGGCCCAGCAGACACTCCCAATGGTCCGGCAGTGCGGTCCTCCATACTGGTTGAGGGGACGGCTGGAAGTCAGTAGCATGGGGTGGAGGAGTTGCAGCAGAAGGTTTCGCTAGGAGAGGAGGCGACGCTTCAGCAAGAGGAGTACCAGCTGCAGGCCAAAGGGGTGGGGCAGCAGCCTGCCATGCTTCAAGCGTTGGAGATGGGTTGCTCGGAGATGGCTACTGGCTTAGTAGCGGGTATGGGTGTGGGGCGTATGTTGGGACTGATTGGGAAAGATGACGGCTCTATGGGATCGGTAAGGGCTAGGAGGGAAGTGATGGAACAGGAGGAGGTGTGGACGTGTAGGCTTGAGGAAGGAGATGGGGTGGCGGATGAAGTGGCAGCGGTGCAGCGACAGGTTGGAAACTTATCACCTAGGGGCGGGGGCGTTGAGGTGCGGATTCAAGAGGGATCATCACCGGTGGCCGTGTTGCACCTTGACCCGGTGGTATCTTCTAGCAATTTTGAACAAGAGGTAGATGGGTTGGGGAAGGCGTTTTTGGCTAAGGGCGCGGCATTCGTGCTGGTTTTTCCTCAGATAGGACCCTATGACCTAGGGGTGCTGCTTCATCAATTTCCTTTTCTATGTTATCTTATGATTAAGGTGCTTTTTTGGAATATAAAGGGGGTGGCTCGTACCCCTAATCTATCACATCTAAGAAAGTTAATCAAATTGCACTCTTTACAATTAGTAGTGGTTGTTGAGCCTAAGACGGGTTTGGACAACCACACTGCCATTAGACTAAAATTGGGGATGGACTACTACCTCTCTAATCAGGGGGGTTTCGTTTAGGTGTTTTATCAGTCTCTGTTTACTTGTCAGTGTATCGGGGAGTTGTCACAGCATCTGACAATCCAGGTGCGCTCTCATTTATTTCCTACCCCTATTCATTTGTCTTGTATTCATGCTAAGTGTACGGGACACGAAAGGGAGATTTTATGGCATAACTTATTAAGAGATAACCTAGGGTCGTCTCCGTGGTTCTTAGTGGGGGACTTTAATCTGATCACAAATGGTGAGGAAAAGAGGAGTGCCTGCCATTTAGACATTCGGAGGGTGTGGACTTCCTCAATTTCATGTCCGAAGCAGGAATGGTGGATGCAGGGTTCTCAGGGTCAAGGTATACCTGGTGCAATAATCGTCTGGGCCCAGCTCGGATTTGGAAATGCCTGGATAGACTCCTATTTAATGGGACAGCATTGGGGATGCACCACCAGGTCACAATTCAACACTTGGGTAGGGATCCATCGGATCACGCTCCATTACTGTTATCTGTGGTAACGCGTCTGGACAATAAACCCAGGCCTTTTCGATTTTTGAATATTTGGACCATGCATAAGGACTTGTTGGGGGTGGTTCGTGAATGCTGGGCACAGCCGATGGGTGGGTCTCCTATGTAGGTATTGGCAGCAAAGCTGAGGGGTATGAAACAGGTACTGAGGCAATGGTCTAAACTTTCGTTTGGAGATATTTTTGAGACAGTCCGGGGCGCTGAGCGCGATTTGGTGGATATAGAGACAAAGTATGACTTAGATCCGTCGGATGCCTTGCGGTGTGAACTACATCAAGCCTAGGCACGATTGCGTCGAGCTCTTTCGATCGAGGAGGGCTTCTGGAGGCAGAAGGCACGTGCAAAGTGGCTTCAAGATGGGGATAGAAACTCGAAGTTTTTCCATTCATTAGTGGCAGAAAGAAGACGTCGGTCAGTGATTCATCGAGTGAGGAGGTCAACGGAGAGTGGCTCGACGAGGAGTCGCAGATTGGTGAAGCGGCGGTTAGTTTCTTCCAGGAGCTTTTCACGGTGGAGACAGTTATCCCAGCAAATGGTTTGTTGGAAAACATTCCGAGTTTAGTAACTGCCCAAGACAACGCTGCACTAACAGAGATCCCGCGGCTCGAAGAGGTTAAGGACATAGTGTTTGCCCTAGATAAGGAGTGTGGCAGGGCCGGATGGGTTTACGGGGAAGTTCTTCACTTTTACGTGGGAGGTGGTTGCCATGGATGTGTATCGGGCAGTGGTAAGCTTTTTCTGTGGGATCGAAATCCCTAGGAGCATCACGGCAACATCGATTGTGCTACTGCCTAAGGTGGAACACCCTCAGGATTTCACTCAATTTAGGCCTATTAGTCTCTGTAATTTCGCTAATAAGATCATTTCAAAACTTCTTTCGGAGAGACTAGCTAAGATATTGCCCCGTCTCATATCTCCACAGCAGAGTGAATTTGTGAAAGGGAGACAGATTGCGGATAACATTTTACTTGCTCAGGAGTTGGTGTCAGACATTACGAGGTCTAATCGGGGTGGGAACGTGGTGATTAAGTTGGACATGATGAAGGCGTACGATAGAGTTTCGTGGCCGTTTCTGCTACAAGTTCTTTGCTGCTTTGGGTTCTCTGAGACCTGGATTGATATGATCTGGCACCTGGTTTCTAACGTCTGGTTCTCGATTTTGGTCAATGGCGCACCTCAAGGATTCTTTAAGTCATCACGGGGTCTCCGGCAAGGGGATCCCATCTCACCGGCCTTATTTGTCCTCGGCGCTGAGGTGCTATCTCGAGCCTTGAATACGGTGGCCACTGAGCGACAGTTTGTTCCTTTTAAGGTTCCTCCTCGGTGCCCTGTTGTAACGCACTTGGCGTACGCCGATGATGTTATCATTTTCTCTAGTGGTGCGCGGTCCTCTTTAACTCTGATTAAGAGGGTCCTGGAAGAGTATAGTATGACATCGGGACAGCCGATCAATTCACAGAAGAGTTGCTTCTTGACTCATCCAAGGTTTCTGGCTCCGAAGGCAGCAATGATTGGCCAGGTGCTAGGGTTTCAGAGGCAGGCGTTTCCGGTAAGGTACCTTGGATGTTCTTTGTACATGGGACGGAGGAAGAAGATCTACTTTGCGGATGTTTACAATGCGGTGGTGGCTCGGATCTTATCATGGAAGCATAAACTTTTATCTATAGGAGGTCGGGTGGTGCTAATTAAGAGCATGTTAGCCTCAATGCCCGTACACTTACTCATAGCCGCTTTTCCACCAAAGGGGGTCATTGTGGCATTGGAAAGGGTGTTCGCTGATTTCCTGTGAGGGACGTCTGACTTTGGGACTAAGTTTCACTGGATTCGGTGGGAGGCATTATGTAGACCGCGAGAGGAGGGAGGTATCGGTTTGTGTGGGCTGAAAGATGTGCACGACTCGTTCTCTGTTAAGCTTTAGTGAAATTTCAGGCAACAGAAGTCACTCTGGGCAGAGTTCATGGCAGGTAAATATTGTGCCGGTTTACATCCTTGCCTGGCGGAGGCAAGCCAACGGGGATCCCTCACGTGGAAGAGAATGAGTTCAGTATAGCAAGTGGCGGAGGACAGCATCAGTTGGATCGTTAATGCGGGCTTGATGAATTTTTGGCATGATAATTGGTTGGGGACTGGGGCGTTATGTCAAAAGGTGGAGATCTTCCATGACCACCTGGTTGCTGATTTTGTTGACCGTAGGGCTTGGAACATTGTCATGCTTAATCAGTATTTGGATGCAGGTTTGGTGGCGCGCGTCCTAGCTATGGACCCACCAATCTTTCAAGGTCCTGATAGAATGGTTTGGGCTTTGACACCATCTGATAGTTTCTCCACGGCATCAGCTTATTTCCTGGTCCGACAGGGTGGCCACAGATCATGGAGTGTGGCAGCCATCTGGCACCAGTGTGTTCCCCTTAAAATCTCTTTCTTCATGCTGCGGTTATTGCAGGACAGGCTCCCCACCATGGACAGACTGAGGGGTGCTAGGGTTCAGGGCCCTTCTCGCTACTGGTGTTGCCAAGAACCTAGGGTGGAGGACTTGGATCACATTTTTTGTGCTGGAGAGGGGGCAAAACGAGTCTGGCGTCACTTTGAGATACGTCCGGGGGAAATAGAGGCGGTACATATGGCGCGGCATATGATTTGGCTTTGATGGATATGGAGCGGTAACACAAAGGTCTTGAAATGTTTATATAGGATCCTCCCAGCGGTGGTCTGCTGGGAATTATGGAGAGCGCGGAATAGGGGTGTGTTTGAAGGACAACGACTGAAGATTAGGGCAACTGTGAATCGGATCGTTTAGTTACTGGGCGAGCTCCTGCAGACCCGCTTCCCATGGATGAGGTCTATATCCTCGTGGGAAGAGTTACTTCGAGAGATAGTGTTATGTCGAACGCGAGTGAGTATTCAGCCCGTTCGCTGGATTCCGCCGCTAAGGGGTGGAAGTTGAACTCCGATGGGTGTTCTCGGGAGAACTCAGGGAAGAGTGGAGGGGGTGGGGTGGTGCGGGACTGTCATGGGAATTTTGTCTTCGGCTATTCAGAGTTTTTTGGTACGATGAGTAGCCTACATGCAGAGTTGCGCGGACTGCTTGTGGGAATAAAGCATTGTATGGTTCGAGGGTTCCAACAGTTACATGTTGAGGCGGACTCGTTGACGTTGATTCGGATCGTGCAGGGGGATAGTGCATGCCTATGGCAGTTGCAGAGGGAGATGGATAATCTCCTCCAATTTCGTCACTGTTTTCAATCCGTCACGCATTGTTATAAGGAAACGAATTCACCGGCTGATCGTCTAGCAAATTATGGAGTCGATTCTGAGGCAAGGCAGGTCTTTACTGCTTTTGCCGACCTACCCCGGTTAGTCAGGGGGAGCCTTAGGATGGATAGGTTGGGCTTCCAACGTTTCGTAGACGGGTGGTGGGACACTCATAGCTGTTGTCTCGTCTGCTTTTTCTTGTGTACGCATGGTTTCAAGCCTTTATAATAAGAAATTAAGTTGTTAAAAAAAATGCTAATTTGTGTGACTTGAAAATTTTTAGCCTTGATGACATGACAAGAAGTAGAATTGTCATCATCGTCACTTAAATACCCCTTGGGCATAAATTTTCTCAGTGTCACAGGTTGTCGAACCTCTTGAAGGAACAGATGACTTGAAGAGACTGGTGTTACGGCCACTCCTTTTTGTTTCTTTGTTGCATTTCATTGTTTCATTGTCACTTTAGCTTTTGTCGAACAAATGCTTTTCGAAAAGATGTACTTCTTTATTTTTTGGCTTGTAAATCCCCTTTCAAGTGACTAAAGTTCATCCTTCATTGTCATCTTCAATAACATCTTCAATTGAAGATTTTTCAAGTTCCCCTATTGCAGACAGAGCATTGCTTGATGTGGATGAAACTTCTATCGGACAACACACAGATCCAAACATTATTGTTGTTTGGTTTGCCGATATTTTATTCCCATCGAGGAGAATTTTTCCTTGACGGGCTAATTCCATAATTTTGTCTTTAAAGACAAAGCATTTTGTGAGATGATGGCCAATTAGGCGATGATAACAACAATAATTTGGATCATTGACTCGATCGACTTCCTCTGGGCACTTCATTTCGGGAAGTTCAAGGAGGTTCTCCTTGAAAAAATCATTAAACATCCCTTGTAAATTAGATTCAAAAAACGGGTATTCCTTTTCTTGCATCTCTTTTAGAGTGGGTCTTCTTACTGACTTATTTTGGGAGAAGTCTAGCTTTACGGTGACCTTTCGACTCACCTTGATAGCAATCTTTATGGGAGCCGTGTTTATTATCATGGACTCTTTATTATTGAGTTTTGAAGGGAGTTTGCCCCCTTTTTTTATTTTTTTGTCTCTCATGGCTTTGACAAGACGGCTGCACTCACGAAATTTGAATGGGAAACCCATTAGTTGCATTGGTCGTGATGTTTAGTTCCATATCATGAGCGCAAGTAGCTAATTCTTCAAATGTGTTTGGACGTATACCTTGTAGAATATAACTTAAGCTCCAATGTATTCCTCTGATGCACATTTATATGGCAGAGGGTTCAGATAGTCTATCTTTACAGTTAAGACTCAGACTTCTCCACCTATCGATGTAGTTGACTACACGTTCATCCTTCCATTGGCGAGTGTTAGTCAATTCCAATATAGTAACAGTTCTTCTAGGGCTGTAGAAGCGATTCAAGAACTCTTGCTCCAGCTGTTCCCAACTGTCAATGGATCCTAGTGTGAGATCAGTGTACCAATCAAATACATTGCCTTTCAAGGATTGAACAAACTGTTTGACTAGCAGGTCACCATATGTTCCAGCATTATTGCAGGTTTCAATAAAATGGGTCACATGTTGTTTTGAACTGCCTTTTCCATCGAACTGTTGAAACTTAGGTGGTTGATATCCAGCAGGCATTGCTAGGTTGTCAATTCTAGCAGTGTAAGGCTTGGAGTAGGTAAAGGTTGACTTTGAACCACCCTCCTTTTTGTCTTTAATCATGTTTTCAACAAGTTTCTTCAGTTGTTCTACGTGAATAGTTCTCTCGGCAGTCACATATACTTCTTTCACATTGTCCTCACCTTTAGAGGAGAGAATTTCACGCTCTTGATGCTCCTTAGGGTTCACATGATTTCTTTCAGGAACGTGATCTTTTTGGGTGAGCAATTGAGCGATAAGAGTATCTTGATCTTTGATGTGTTTCATCATGGTTTCCATCACTTTGGACATGTTCGAAACTTGTTATTCGAGACTTAAAGTGTTTGTCATCATAGCAGGTATTGCAGCAGAAGAGACAGCGGGATCTTTAATAAAAAATTTTGATTGAAGAGTTTCATAGGAAGAGGCTGATCCAGTGCTTGATGAATCATTATCATGCTTAGAAAATTTGGATTTGGATCCAAGTTCGAGCATGGCAAGAGCCTTCTCAATCAAGGCAGAAACGTCTTCGATCCCCATCATGGAAGAATAGCTCATTGGTGATGTTGAACCAAAGACGGGAGTTGACGCCGATGGAACTTCCATGCTACTTTGGGTGGAGGCTCTCGTCATACTCCTTGTCAAAGGACCAATAGTGCGGGTATTGGTAGCAACATGTGCAGCTTCCTGAACAGGCTTAGCATCAGTAGCATTGGAACGTGCAATTATGGTTTTATTGCTCTTTGGTGTCATTGATGATGTATGTAGTTGAATATTCGAAGAGAAGAGATGGAAGGCAAAGATGGTCCCATCGGGGATGCCAAAAATTTGTACGTGATTAAAATTTTAAGTCTGCAAAATGACAAGGAAAAAGGAAATACACGACAAATATGTAATATATAAATTTAGGAAAATATGTGTGTACAATCTCTGAAATTTTCTCGAACTTGTAGAGAGTTTCCTTCGATTCTCCTCCTCGAACACCAATCCAAGGGCTTCGTAACTTGTTCCTGGATCCACCACCGATTCCTTCAAATCTTGAGATGGAAGATTTGAAGAACTTGGATGATATTTATAGACTTAACTCTTGATATATGGGAGATTTGGAGAGTTTGAAGATCCAGACCTTTGTAGCTCGGAACTTCAGTATTTGAACGTATGAGATGCCTCTTGGTGTCTGTCCCCTGATTTGGTAGAGAGACCCCTATTTATAACTGTGGTATGAGGTAGAGGTTAAAGACTTGTATACCACTTTACTTGTCTTGCAAGACGTGCAGTCATATTAGGACTGTGCACTTAAATATTATCTCTTCATTTTGTATTTACTAATAAAGAAATAATACCAATAAGTAATTCCTTGATTAGCCAAACACGTGACGTGGTGCCATTTGATTGGACAAGCTATTGCCGTATATAAGAAATACATACAAATTAAACAACTCTAAATATTATCTCTTTAACAAGAAATAGATATTTAGATGTCTATCCAATATACATGTGATATGATATGATTTGGTTGGCGGAAACATCCCAGTAATTTCAATTGATTGAAACACCTCGACTTGACACGTGACAAAGTATAATTGGCCATTTAATAACCAATTTTTTCAAGTGTACATGACATACGGCAATACCTGAATGGATAGAAATAAGCCACAAAAATAATTTATAAATCAATGGTAATTCTAAGAATTAATTGAAATTCCACTGTCTACACTCTTCTCAAGCTCTGCCAAGATGAAGAATGTTGACCTTAGTCCCTAACTTTTGATGTTTACAAAACAATAGATAATACTAATATCTCTTCAAGAAATATTTTCAATTACGAAGCAAATTAGATTCAAAGATCAAGTGCAATTGAAAGGGACAAAGGCTGCTGAAAGCTGTCGGACGCTTAGATCGGACGTCCGATAATCATTGCGTAACTTCGGATGCTGAATATGTCTCCACCGAACGTCCGATAGAAACAAGATGATTTCTCAAATCTCTTTGTTTGTTGTCGGACGCACAAAGAGCTTGCACCGGACGTCCGATAGAATTGAATACAATTTCTCAAACTCACTGCCTGCTGTCGGACGCAAAAAACAAGAGTACCGGACGTCCGATACTCCAACGACTAGTTGATTGTTCAGCTACTTTCTATCCGTTGAAAGTATTAATGAAGCACTTTCTTAGTCTCCTATAAATAGAGTATGATCAGAATCTTCAAATAACTTTTGCACACTGAAGAAACAAAAGATCTATAGTAATTTTAATGAGAAAATACTTTACAAGAAAAATTTGTAGTTTTAGTGGTGTGAGATTCATTATAAGCTTTTCATTTGTGAGTGAATACTTCATGAGTGTAGCTCTGCGAGGGTTGTCCTGAGGGATAGTAAAACGTCCTAATTTGACCGAGTGGAGTTCGGGGCAAGGAGGAGGTGAACGTTCCTTTGTACACAAGAGTGATTGTTATTCATCAACTTGAAGAAGGTTGTTTCAATTAATCTACAAGCTCAAGAGGAGTTGAGTAGTTAATTGATTTGCAATTCTTTCCTTTTTATTTACTTATTGTTACGTTTGTGATCTTTACATTGTTTATCTCTTTCACTTGGTTGTCTTCGATCCTTACAATTGGTATCAAAACTTGGTCTCCTAGAGATTAAACTCAATCGATTTGGGAGTAAAAATGACAACCAATAATGCTATTTTTTCGAAAGACATTCTGTTATTAGACCACCTATGTTTAATGGGTCAAATTATGTGAGTTGGAAAAAAAGAATGATTATTTTTTTGCAATCTATCGATATTGAATTGTGGTTTATTATTAGTGAAAGTCCATATGATGTCTCTCTTATAGATGAAAATACTCATAGATCTAGACCAAAAACAAGAAGTGAACTGACTGCTATGGATAGAGCTCATCTCACTTTAAACGCAAAAGTCATGAATGTGTTATATTGTACTTTAAACTCAAATGAATCTATTAGAGTCAAGAGTTGCAAGTCAGCTAAAGAAATTTTGGACAAATTGAAAGAAATTCATGAAGGTAGTGAGAATGTTAGAGAACAAAAGAAATCTATCTTAGTTACTAAAAATGTGTCGTTTAAGATGGAACCTCATGAAAATATTGATCAAATATATTGTAAATTCAATAATCTCATTAAGGATTTAGAAGTGTTGGAAAAAGAATACTCTCTATGTGAGAAAAACAGAAAAATTTTGAATGCCTTATCCAATGATTGGGAGAGTAAAGTGACTGCCATTGAAGAAACTAGAGATCCAAATTCCTTACTTATGGAATCTCTTATTAATTCTCTAATCTCTTATGAGTTGAACCTTAAGTGCAAAATGCAAGAGGAAGAGGATACGAAAATAAGAAGAAGCATTGCTCTAATGGCATCTCGAAATGTAGATGATTATGTCTCCCTAGATGAAGAAGATGCGGAAGCTGATGATAGTGATCTAGCTCTCATCGCAAAAAGTTTCAAGAGAATCCTCAACAAACGAAGGATCAGAAAAGGAGGAAACAGCAACTCATTTCCAAATCAGTTCAGCAACACAAGAAACAAAAGAAAGCAAGAGTACAATAAAAAGTAAACTGATAATGTTTTGAATGCGACCAGTTTGAACACTACATGAATGAATGTTCAATGAAGAAGAGAAAAGGTGAAAGAAAATCAAGATTCAACAACTTCCAGTTCACATGGAATAAATGCAACTCCGATAGTGGAATTGAAGAGCAAGAAAAATCTGCTCAATTGGCTTTCATGACCATTGGAGATGATGAGATAACATCTTCTAACTCTCAATTTGAAAGTGATGATGATCTTGAATCTTTCATTATAAAATTGCATGATAGTTTGAAAAAATCTTATACTAGAAACAAGGAATTAAAACATAAAATTAGTTTTCTTTTTCAGGACAGTGCACGTCTTTTTCAAGAAAACAAAAGATTGAAAACTGAAAATGATTTCTTAAAAAGGAGTGAGACTATTTTACACTTTGAGCTTGATAGAAAAACAAGAATTTGTGAAATGTTAAAAAATGAACAAGGGAGTTTGACAAAAAGAATGGATGATCTTAATCAGTTGCTTCAACATAAGAAACAAGACTGTTTTCAAAGTAATAAATCAAAACCTCATTTTGACACTTATCAAAAGAAGATAAATTCTGCTGCAAATGAATTTGCTATTTATAAGAGAAGACAAGTAAGATTTATTAAACCTGTTCATGTAAATAACTCTTTGGTTATGTATAATTTTTGTTGTCAAAAAGGTCACATGAAAAGTGATTGTTATGTGAGACAGAATATGAGAAGCGACATGAAATGTATGTGGATAGTTAGACATGATGCTAACTCTAACAAGTAGGAGATTTTGGTAAGATTAATGAGATTCTTATTCATAACATTTTTTGGTAATTCTCTTTTGATGTTTTTGATGTTTTGAACTGAGTTTTTCTTGATGTTTTTTAATATTACTGAATTTGTATGATAATAAAAAGGGGGAGAAATGGATGCTATGTATAAGGGGGAGTTATTCTGAGATTATAAGTTTGAATGCAATGAGTGAGGGGGAGCTTATGCTCATATGCTCAAACTTTTCTTTCTTCCATCCATTGTTTTGTCATCATTAAAAAGGGGGAGAATGTTGACATTGGTCCCTAACTTTTGATGTTTACAAAACAATGGATAATACTAATATCTCTTCAAGAAATATTTTCAGTTGTGAAGCAAATCAGATTCAAAGATCAAGTGCAATTGAAAGGGACAAAGGCTGCTAAAAGCTGTCGGACGCTTGGATCGGACGTCCGATAATCATTGCATAACTTCGGACGCTGAATATGTCTCCACCGGACTTCCGATAGAAACAAGATGATTTCTCAAATTTCTTTGTTTGCTGTCGGACGCACAAAGAGCTTGCACCGAACGTCCGATAGAATTGAATAAAATTTCTCAAACTCACTGCCTGCTGTCGGACGCAAAAAACAGGAGTACTGGACGTCCGATACTCCAACGGCTAGTTGACTATTCAGCTACTTTCCATCCATTGGAAGCATTAATAAAGCACTTTCTTGGTCTCCTATAAATACAGTATGGTCAGAATCTTCAAATAACTTTTGCACGCTGAAGATACAAAAAGATCTAGAGTGATTTTAGTGAGAAAATACTCTACAAAGAAGATTTGCAGTATTAGTGGTGTGAGATTTATTGTAAGTTTTTCATTTATGAGTGAATATTTCATGAGTGTAGCTGTGCGAGAGTTGTCTTGAGGGATAGTAAAACGTCCTAACTTGACCGAGTGGAGTTCGGGGTAAGGAGGAGGTGAACC